AGAGCAATGTGGAGAGCCAACCTGAAGTACCTGGGCATCTCACTCGGTCTCCCTGCTGCAGCTGCCATCTACCACCTGAGCAAAAGGAGGTGAGAGCAGCACCCTCACCCCTACACCTCTCAGGCCACCCCTCCATTATCCAACCCCTCACCAACTGTCCCTTCCTCAGGGCTCGCAGCCTCCTCTTCCCACCCCTTCCCAAGCCTGTGGGCACCAAAGCCATCCAATTCTCCAACAGCGAGATGAGTCAGGTAAGATGCAAGGTGCAGGAGGGGCCAGATCCTGCAGCCTACAAATGCCCTCCCATGGCCCTGGCATGGGACATTCCACCCCAAACCCACCCAACCCTTAGGGCCAACCCCGGACAGGCCTCCTGGAGCCCTCAGAGAGGTTCAGCCCGGCAGAGCTGCTGCTGACAGAGCCAAATCCCAGCAAGGAGATGACTGACACAGACTCCCAGCCTGATGTGCCACAGCCCGACGTGCCACAGCCCAGCCCTGTGGTGGAAAAGCCAGTGGAGGTGGTGGTGTGCCCACCAGGCTGTGGGGAGGAGACATCCTTCGCCTACCGCAGGCAGGAGCTGCACAACCCAGTGGGATCTCCACCACCTGGCAGCACCAGCTGCTCTGGGCACCCACCCAGCGAGGAGGAGGAGGAGGAGGAGGAAGAGCAGGGAAGGCAGGGGCTGCACCAGCCACTGATCCCCATCGCCCTGCTCATCTCTGACAAACCCATCATCATCAGGGATGAGGAAGGATGGGATCCGTCGCAGGAGAATTTGGTGCCATAGCCATCACCAGGCTGGAGCAGCAGGGATGGATGGCAGGAAGGTGGCAGAGGTGTCCCATGGGATGCTGAGTGCCCGTGGGTCACACTGACATTTTCAGGGGGGTTTCTAGTTTCCAGGACATGGAAGGTGATGCCTCCAGATCCAGCATTGCACTGGGCCAGCCAGCACTTCCCAGCCTCAACCTTTCACTGGCCATAAAATCTGAGGGAAGGCAGCTGCAGTCTGGCCAGGAGTGAGGGTATTTCCTTGGCTTGACTGGGAGGAGAGGCAGAGCTTCATCCCCTCCAGCAGCCACCTCTGGGACCAGCATCCCAGTGGGATGGGGACACAAAGAGCCTCAGCACCAATCAACAGCTACCTGTAAAAACACGAGCAAAATATAAAGCTCCTCAAAAGAGAAAAAAATTTCAAACATTAAAAAATTCAAATAACTATACAAAGCAGGGCTGAGATGGTTTTCCTTTGCCTGACCCAGGCAGATTCCAGCAAGGATTTATAGCTGAGAGCAATCCACGAGGACACAGCCAGGGCTGGGGGTGGCCCAGGATGGCAGAACCCCCAGTCCCTCTGCATGGGACCAGGCTGCCACCTCAGACCTTATCTGGGTCAGAACTGAGATGAGAAGCGATCTGTGGTTTTCTTACTTGCTGAGAGGGCAAAACATTTCAACTAAAAACTGCGTGAGGTTAGTAGCACGGGGAACTCCAGGTAAGGCAGCGCCGACACCGCCGCGATGTCTCAGCCACCGGTGCAAGGCTCAACCTCCTCACCGCTGCTTTCAGCTCCAGTCATGTTTTGCAAAGGATTTTACCAAAATCTCTCTCAGCATCGGCACGTGCGGGCGGAGATAACGCCCTGGGAAGCAGCCGGAGCAGCACATCGCTGCGTGTTCTCCCACCAGCCCCGGGTGGTTGGAATTTGCGGCTATTCCCAGCACGCCAAGGATGTGTTGGTGCCATTCCCATGGCTGGGGGTGCAGCTGTGTGCACGTAGGACCCTTGTCACCGTGCCACTGTCGCTGTGCCCACCCGTGTCGGGCGCTGTGTGTGCGAGGAGTCTCAGCTGCTGCGGAGCCACGAGGTGGCATCAGCCCCACGTCCCCACGGCTCTTCCCAAACTCCTGCAGAGCAAATCCATCCTTCCCTCCCCGCCACGCATCACCCCACAGCCCCCTGAGTCTGGCAGCCTTGTTCTGCAGCGCCCAAAATCCCTAGGGATGCGCTGGAGATGGAGCATCCTGCCCTCCCGGGGCTCAGCTGACACATCGGATGGAGG